TTTTTTTTATATAAATATATTAAAAATAAAAATAATAAGAAAATATGTTTTTGTTTTAGATCATTTTCAATGTCAAAAAACAGCTGTTGAACAATTAAAAGAACGTTTTGAAAAAATGAACTTATCATATGATGCATATAGGTTTGTTAGTTTATTAAATTCGTCCCCTCAAAAATCGATCTTCGGACAGGTATATTGAGTTCGTGTGAAATTTTCAGTCCTATATCATGAAGTTTTCGGAAGATATTCAATAATCAAAGATGAGAAATAGGTAATTGCACAACTCCAAAATTCTTTGTGCACTCTTATTCTATATTTTTAACGTCCTGTTTTATTTGAAAGCGTATGTCAGAGTGTAATGTCGTTTTTTTAACTTATTACTTATGTAGAGAAAAATCATAACAAGTTTATTAGCTCGAGAAGTAGTCCTCTATTTATAGAAGTGTTTTTTACTATAATAATAAAAATAATGTACTTCAAAAAAATGGATACTGCATCTTCACATACACCAACCGAAAAACATTTCCTACTGTTTTTGTAAACAACATATTTTTCAAGGTCATGAAAATCCAGGTGCGTAACGTCTCCATGCTTCTGAAAGTCGTATACATAATGGTTCTCTTGCTTTTGAAAATTGTCCGCACAGTGCTCTTTTTTGTGAGAGTCAACCATTCTGCACTTCCTGCCTTCAATACTCACTGGCGTCTCTGCGAAAATCATCGAACATTTCTGCAGAAAATAATATGCAAAATAAAAAAAAAATCATCTCATTTATGAAAGATCAGACTTCGGGCTATGTTTCCGTGCATTCAGTTCAATTTCAGTTTTTCTGACGAAAATTGACTTTTTTTGATAGTGGAAGGTGTATATAATAACTTTTTATTTAACTATAATTATATATTTAGTTCAATTGAATATGTTGGAACTCAAACGTTCGGTGGAAAACAAACAGATTTTAATGAGATAAAAGCAACAATTACAGCAACACTTGAAAATAACAAAATTCGTTCACCACGACGTTTATCAGTTATTTTTAAAGCTCTAAAAGTAATAGAAATAGATAAATTTGAAATTTTTTTTTTCTTATTTTCTAAAATTAAACATAGAAAGGCGACTGTAAGGTTTTGATTACAGAACGGGCTCTGTGTAGGGTTGTAGAGAAAGATTTCGTCTATCTAATGACGTATGTATTATCATTTTCTAGAACGGACCTTTGGTCTGTCAATAGATGGTGACGCTTTCACCGCGGCCGCAGTAGATGGTGACCTCATCTATTGGTATAATGCTTGTTGTCGAAAAACTTATAGTCGCCTTTGAATAATTTGAAAAAGAAATTTCAATGTATTTTTTTTTCGTTGATGTCTTTTAGGCTTTAAACGAAAAGTTTAATCATGCTATACCTCCTGAAATGCCTTCAACATTACCCGATGATTTTT